CCTAAAATAAAAGATAATTTTCCAGTGTGACCTATTTTATACCAAGGATATAAAGGAATTAATGAAGTAGGCAACATCGAGGACTGTATCACAGCAAGGAAATCCCTGCTGCTTGGAAATGTGTTTTCCCAATGTGCCCAATATACCTATTTTGCTAGAAGATAGCGAAAATGAGTGATTACTCTGCCTTCCTGCCCTCAGTGCCCTCCATGGGTGTTAGCAGCCTGAAGAGCTCATCTAGGCTGACCTGGCTGAGTTACTCTGCTCATCACTGCCCAGCCTGGGCTGCTGGACATGGCCTGACGGAGACCCCTCTTCCAAGTGTCCTCTTTGAAACCTGTGTCATGGGCAGAGTGAGTAACTTCACTCATAAGACAGAAGTAGTGAAATATTTCTTAAGGTGAAACAGTGATTTAACAAAATCAGTAGTAAATGCAATAATGTTTTACAAGATTCGATGTCAAGGCACACTCTATTATTTACTGCCCAGAGGACAGCGTCAGACAAGTTGTCAAGGAGACCCTCCCGTTGAGTCACAAGGTCCAGAGAGGACCCCTTTGCTTTCTAAGCTCCTTCCCAGAGAGCCTGGGTGTGGCTGGATCCAATACTTGTTCCAGGCTTGGTCAATGGTTTATGTCTAAAGGATTATATCTGTGCAATCAACCCTACTTAGCTAAGATTTCAAAGTTTTGCACGCTATTAGTCACTTACTGAGGATCTGTTGCAGCAAGGAATCTCTCAACCTCGAGGAGTAGAACCTGAAGCCAGCGTCCTCACCAAAGGGGAGATCCTGGCGTGCAGCCGCTGCCGTACAGGAGAGCTCCAAGGGCTCTTGGGCTGTCCACTATTTATGCAGTAAGATAATTGACCTATAGTCATATGTTCATGGCAACAAAATTTCTAGGTCCCCACTCCAGACAGTATTTTGACTCTGCTGCCAGCCATCCCCCAGAGACCGGGTGCAAGTTGTCACAGCTGCTGTTGTGATGGCCATGGTGGCCAAGGCCGGGCAGGAGCCCATGGGGGGGGCAAACCATGGAGAGCACACCCCCACAGCTGCCTTCCCCAACTGCTTCTATTCCCCAGCCGATGGGACCTGCTAGGAATTCATCTACGGGAGCTGCCACAGGAACAAGAACAATTTCCAGACCCCGGAGGAATGTCTGAGCCGCTGTCACCCCAAGGACACAGCAGGCTCTGTGCCCTCCCAACACCCCCAGGACCCCCGGATGCCCCGCTCCATCCTACGCAATAGGGCAGAGGAGCAGTTGTCCCCCAGCAACCCCCCACAGAGGAGGAAACAGAAGAGGGTGCGCTTCCTGGAAGACAATCCCACCTTCTTGTCCATCGAGGTAAAGATGGAGCAGCACAGAGCGATGCAGTGGCCGGTCAAGGCCCAGTGGGGGGGAGAAGTGGGGGGTGTCAGGGGTTCTGCAGTGGGACCCCCACCCCCCCAGGAACCCTCCCAGCCCGAGGCCCCACAGAGCAGCAGGAGCAGATGGGGGTGCTGGGGACCCAGCGTGGCCCCAGCGCCTTGGGGTGGAGATGGAGAAGGCTTTGGACTGGAACAAAAGGCCTCCAAAATAGGGTCAGAGAGGAGCATCCCCGCTGCTGTGGGCAGGAGCTCTGTGGCAGAGCCCAGACTCCGCGGGCTGGTGTCCGTGGGCAGGGAGCGTGGCCGGGCGGCTCTGGGGCTGTGCCCGGCAGGACGGTGCCTGTGACAGGGCTGTGCCCTGCCGTAGGGTGCTGTGGGGGCTGCAGCAGGGGGCCAGGAGCTGCTCCCTTCTCACCCAGCTCCTGGGGGTCCTTGCAGTGGTGGAATAAGAAACAGAGGAAGAGGAGGTGGGAGAAAAGACGGCAGGAGATGAAGAAGGCAATGCACTTGAGGAGGGTAATGATACGCCGGCAGAAGGAGCAGATGTTGAAGAGTGGGGAGAAGGCAGAGGGACAATGGCAGAGGAAGCAGAGCGGTGAGTGACCCCGGCACCGAGCGCCCCACAAACGGCCGACACCCCACGGAGGAGCCCTGAGCCGGGGCTGTGCCTGGAGGTGCCGGCCGCTCACTCCTTCTCCTCCCTCCACAGCCTCTCAGTTGGCAGAGGAAGGAGCAGCACCAGGCGCAGAGCAGGAGAAGCGGTGAGTGTGGGGGAGACCCCCAGATCCTGCCCCAGACCCTCACCCCTCACCCTACCCCTGCCCCCCGGCCGAGGAGGGGGGGCTGCCCAGCGTCCGGCCGCAGGGGCCGGGGTGCAGCAGGGTCTCTTCTCTCCTCTCCTCTGCAGGGCGAGTGCGAAGGAGTCAAAGGGGGAGCACCTGCCCCCCCAAGACCCTCCAGTGCCCCGTTCCATCCTGCGCAATAGCGTGGGGGGTCCGAACACCCAGTTGCCCCCCGGCAGCCCCCCGGTCCAGCGCAAACCCAAGAAGGTTTCCTTCCTCGAATGTGACAGCACCCAGCTGGGCAAGGAGGTAAAGCTGGAGCAGCGCTGAGGGATGCAGTGGGGGGTCCAGACCCATCTGTGGGGGGATGTAGGGGGTGTCAGGGGTTCTGCAGTGGGACCCCCACCTCCCCAGGAACCCTCCCAGCCCCTGGCCCCACAGAGGAGCAGGAGGAGCTGGGGGTGCTGGGGACCCAGCGTGGCCCCAGCACCTTGGGGTGGAGATGGAGAAGGCTGTGGATTGGGAGAAAAGACTTCCGAAATGAGGTCAGAGAGAGGAGCATCCCCGCTGCTGAGGGCAGGAGCTCTGTGGCAGAGCCCAGACCACGATGGCAGGTGCCCATGGGCAGGGAGCGTGGCCGGGCGGCTCTGGGGATGTGGGGGGCTGTGGGGGCTGCAGCGTGGGGCTGGGAGCTGCTCCCGTCTCACCCAGATCCGCTGGGTCCTTGCAGAGGCGGTGTACCAAGGGCAGCAATAAGAAAGCAAAAACCAGATCGAAGAAGCGGGAGAATTGGTGAGTGTGGGGCAGACCCCCAGCTCCTGCCCCAGACCCTCACCCTGCCCCTCAGACAAGGAGGGTGGGCTGCCCGGCATCCCGTGGCAGGGGCTGGGGTGCAGCGGGGTCTCTTCTCTCTCCTCCGCAGGCCCAGAGAGGAGATGTTGAAGAGGGCGGGCATTTATCCAAAGGGACTGTGGGGCTCCAGGCCATCCCTCACCAACCTCTGCTATTTTGGGAGGGATGGCTTCCTGTACCCCCTGTGGCACGCCTTGGAGTTCGAGGACTCCCTGCCAGCAAACTTGCACCAGCAAAGCCCAGGGGTTCCCGTCTCCTCCTCTTCCGAGACCTCCCTGGAAAACCCAAGCCCCCTGGGCTGCCCAGCATCTTAAATGGTAAAGAAATAAAGGTTTTTCTCTGTTCGTGCTGTGGTGGTTCATCCTCCCGGCCCGCGACTGCGGGATGCTGGTTCCTCAGCTGCCCTCTCCATCCCTCTCTGCTTCCTTCAGGGGGCTTCAGGTGCCTGCGACCCCTGGGTTTGGGAGGGAGGGGGGCTGGTTTTGGGTGGGAGGGAGCTTCCATCGCTGAGGGAAAGCCTGCTCTGGCCACTCAGGAGGCTGTGGGGCCGCCCTATAGATGGTTTTGGGGTAGTTTAGGGGCTCTCCCTGAGGGAAAGGCTTCGCAGGAGGCTGTGAGGCCACCACAGTGATGGGTTTGGGGGATTTTGGGGGCTCCCCATGAAGGAAAGGCTGCTCTGGCCTCTCAGGAGGCTCTGGGGCCGCCCTGGACATGTGTTTGGGGGATTTTGGGGGCTCCCCATGAAGGAAAGGCTGCTCCAGGACTTTCAGGAGGCTGTCGGACGAGTCACAACCTGGGTTTTGGGGTGAGGGAGCCGCCATCCCTGAGGGGAAGGCTGTGGGCAGGAGGGAAGGAAGGGGCGATGCCATGTTGTGGTGGGGAGGGAGAGGGAAAAGGCAAAGGGAAAGGAACAGGGAAAGGAAAAGCAAAAAGGGTGAGGGATGTGTGGGCCGAGGGAAGGAGAGCATGGAGAGGAGGGGAGAGACGAGGTGTGTGGAGGGGGGAAAATGGCGGGGAGGTGGGAGTGAGGGCATGAGGGGAATTGGGCGCCGGTGTGAGGGGAGTGTGAGGAAAATGGGCGCCGGTGTGACGGGAATGAGAGTTTTGTGAGGTGTTGTGTGAGGAAAAGGGGTGTTTTATGAGGAAAAGGGGTGTTGTGTGAGGCAAAGGGGTGTTGTGTGAGGCAAAAAGGGCCTTCTGTGAGGGAAATGGGTGTTTTGTGGAGGAAATGGGCATTATCAGGGCTGGGAATTGGTGTGGTGTGAGGGGAATGGATATCTGTGAGGGGAATATGTGGAAAATGGGTGTCATTGTGAGAGGAATGGGTATCTTGTGAGGTGTTGTGTGAAGAAAATGGGCGCTATCTGAGGGGAATGGGTATTTTGTGAGCTGTATGTGAGGAAAATGGGCATTATCTGAGGGGAATGGGTATTTTGTGAGGTGTTGTTTGAGAAAAAGGGGTGTTATATGAAGAAAAGGGGTGTTGTGTGAGGAAAAGGGGCGTTGTGTGAGGAAAAGGGGCGTTGTGTGAGGAAAAGGGGCGTTGTGTGAGGCAAAAAGGGCCTTCTGTGAGGGAACTGTGAGGACTTTCAGGAGGCTGTCGGATGAGTCACAACCTGGGTTTTGGGGTGAGGGAGCCGCCATCCCTGAGGGGAAGGCTGTGGGCAGGAGGGAAGGAAGGGGCGATGCCATGTTGTGGTGGGGAGGGAGAGGGAAAAGGCAAAGGGAAAGGAACAGGGAAAGGAAAAGCAAAAAGGGTGAGGGATGTGTGGGCCGAGGGAAGGAGAGCATGGAGAGGAGGGGAGAGACGAGGTGTGTGGAGGGGGGAAAATGGCGGGGAGGTGGGAGTGAGGGCATGAGGGGAATTCAGGCTCCCCTACAGCCTCTATAGACCCCACGGCTCCACGATGGATCCTTAGACACCCCTATGGAGCCCACAGCTCCCCATAGACCCCTATAGAGCCCACAGCTCCCCATAAGCCCCTATGCAACCCACAGTTCCCCTATAGACTCCTAGAGGCCCCTATAGCCTCTACAGAGCCCACAGCTCCCCTATAGACCCTTAGAGACTCCGATAGAGCCCAGAGCTCCTCGTAGACCCCTATAGAGCCTACAGCTCACCTATAGCCCCTTGTAGACCCTGTAGAGCCCACAGCTCCCCTATGGATCCTTAGAGACCCTATAGCTCTCTTACAGCTCCTATAGAGTCCGCAGCTCCTCTATAGACCCCTATAGCCTCTATAGAGCCTGCAGTTCCCCACGGACCTCTATAGAGCTCAATGCTCCCCTATAGACCCTTAGAGACCCCCATAGAGCCCAGAGCTCCTCGTAGACCCCTATAGAGCCTACAGCTCACCTATAGCCCCTTGTAGACCCTGTAGAGCCCACAGCTCCCCTATGGATCCTTAGAGACCCTATAGCTCTCTTACAGCTCCTATAGAGTCCGCAGCTCCTCTATAGACCCCTATAGCCTCTATAGAGCCTGCAGTTCCCCACGGACCTCTATAGAGCCCAATGCTCCCCTATACACCTTTATAGACCCTATAGTGCCCACAGCTCCCCTGTAGACCCTTACAGTTCCTATAGAGCCCACAGTTCCCCTACAGCCCCTATCTCTATAGAGCTCCTATAGCCCCCATAGCTCCCCTACAGCTGCCCTATAGACCCCTACAGAACCCACGACTCCCTTAGAGCCCCCATAGCTCCCCTACAGCGTCTACAGCTGCCCTATAGACCCCTATAGAACCCACGACTCCCTTAGCGCCCCCATAGCTCCCCTACAGCGCCTACAGCTGCCCTATAGACCCCACGACTCCCTT